GCACCCACCCCAGGTGGGGCTGCTGGACGTGGACATCTGCGGACCCAGCATCCCGCTCCTCCTGGGCGTCACCGCGGGCCAGGTGGTGAGCTCCCAGTACGGATGGAACCCCGTCAAGTACGTACTGGCTACTACTCCACCGCCACCGCCACCTCCGCCATTTGTGCGTGTGTGTGTGTGTGTGTGTGTGTGTGTGTGCATTCGCTCACCACCCCCCTTGCCCTTGCCCCGCGCTGCTGCTCGCCCCTCCCCCTCCCCACCACCACGACGACCACGACCACCTTCGCCCACGGCCACGGCCGCCGCCACCAATGGCTTGTTGGAACTGCGGCTGCATAGGAACAAGGACGGGGTGGCGGTGATGTCGGTGCAGTTCCTCCTCAACCACCCGGATGCGCCCGTCATCTACGCCGGACCCCGCAAGACCAGTACGCTCCGCCAAACTCGCACACGATGCGTCGCGGGAAAGAGAGATGACGATCGCCCGTCTTGATCATCATCATCACCACTGCCATGACGTGAACCAAACGATCCACGTGGCTATGCGTGGTGGTGCTATGTGGCGGTGGTGGTGGTGCAGCAATGATCAAGCGATTCCTCAAGGACGTGTTCTGGGGGCGCCTCGACGTGCTCATCATCGACACGCCGCCCGGCACCTCCGATGAACACCTCACGGTGCTCGCCGCCCTCAAGGTACGCCGCTGCACCTCTCCTCCTCCCACCCGCCCCGGCCACATCGCGCGCGCGTGCTGGCACTCACACACAGGCCACACAGGACGCGCGCCCCGACGGAGCGGTGATCGTAACGACCCCGCAGGAGGTCTCTCTCCTCACCATCCGCAAGGAGGTACGTGTGTGTGGCGTGTGTGTCGTGTGTGTCGTGTGATTCACGCTCGAGCGTGCGTCGGTACAGTTGAAGTTTTGCAAGAAGATGGGCCTTCCGGTGCTGGGCCTGGTGGAGAACATGAGCGGGTTCGTGTGTCCGTGCTGCAACGAGGTCACGGAGATCTTCAAGACGGGCGGCGGAGAGGCCCTGGCGCGCGAGTACGGGGTGCCCCTGCTCGGCCGCGTGCCCATCGACCCGCGGGTCAGCCAGTGCGGCGAGAGCGGGACCTCCATCCTCGACCACCCCGACGCGCCCGCCACGCCCGCATTCGCCACCATCGCCGCCGCCCTCCTCTCCTGACACCCTCCACACCCGTAGATTCTTCCAAGCCCCCATCCAGCGCCACCACACACCAACCTAACGAACCACCGCCCAGCCACCCAGCCAGCGACCATACCAGGTCGCCCTTCTCTCGTGGTAAATGGATTCAAGCAGCCAGCGCACACCACTGGTGCAACACATCCTCCTCCTCCTCCTCCTGGCCAGCCAAGGCAACACTGTTGCGACTGTGTCGTGGTGAAGCGGGCGACGAGCGGCGGACTGATGGATGGTTACCACCATGCCTAGGACTCGGAGAGGGAGAGGGGCCTGCCGGGACCGGCCCAGCTCTTCTGGTCGACGAGGCCCGGTGGGGGCCGGTGCGCGAGCAGCTTCTCCACCATGGCCTCCGGCTCCTGCGGCACCCGCGGTGGGGAGCGAGGACGAGGGGAAGACCAAATCAGATCAGATCAGATCAGCCTCCCTACCACCAGCCACCACCAGCCACCCTACCACCAACATCGGAAGCAAGGAAAAGGAAAGGGGGGGAAGGTGTACATCAGCGACGAGGACCAGGTCGGTCCAGTTGTCGGCGATGAAGCCCTCCTCGTGGGCGCGCTTGAGCATGGCCACCAGCGGGTCGTAGTAGCCCGCCACGTTGAGCAGCCCTGCGCACGTCACGCGATAATGGGATGGGATGGGATGGATGCCCGGGCGGCGGCGGCGGCGGAACGGAATGAGACTCGATCCACCATTACTTAGGTTTATCATGGTGGTGGATAGATAGATAGATGGCTAGGCCATGTACCGATGGGCTTGCTGTGGATGCCCAGCTGCACCCACGTGATGATCTCGAACAGCTCCTCGAACGTGCTGCAGCAGCAACAACGCCCAATTGATGCCCACACCCGCCGCGCCGCACCAGGTCAGCTGACACGTGTTCGCGGATGCAGCCGCGATGATGGGAGGAGGCGCGCCACCCACAAGGCAGCAGCGGCGGCAGCGGCAAGGCGCGTACCCGAAGCCGCCCGGGAGGGCGATGAAGAAGTGTGCCTTCTCGGCCATGAGGGCCTTGCGCTCGTGCATGGTGCCCACCACGACCGTGTCGCCCAGCATCGCCCCGCTCACCTCGCGCGGCATCAGGGCCGCCGGGATCACCCCGAACACCTTGCCCCCGCCATCTTGCACCTGACAGCCACCAGCCACCAGCCACCAGCCACCAGCCACCAGCCACCAGCCACCAGCCACCAGCCACCAGCCACCAGCCACCAGCCACCAGCCACCAGCCACCAGCCACCAGCCACCAGCCACCAGCCACCAGCCACGTTGGGGGGAGGGGTTGGGTTGTGAGGTCAGCCGGGGGGGGGCAAGCTTGCGTGTAGCGCACACGTGCTCTCGTGAGGAGGAGGGAGGAGGATAAGGCGTACGGTGCGGGAGACGATGCCCATGAGGCCGACGGTGCCTCCGCCGTAGACGAGGCCCAGCCCACGCTGCAGGAGCACGTTGGCGAGGCCCTTGGCGGCGGCGGCAAAGGCGGGCGTCTGTCCCTCCTTGGAGCCGCAGAACACGCACGCGTACTCGCCGGTGAAGGCGGCGGCCGCGGTCGTCGTTCCTGCTGCTGCTGCTGCGGGTGCTGCTGCCTCCATTGCTTCCTTCCTTCTTCTGCTTCCTTCCTTCTGCCGCTGCTCCGCTGATCTGGAGGTTACCACGTCTTCCGAGAAGAGACGGAAGATAACGGCCGAGAAAAGAAAGGGAAAACGGGAACTCCGGCCAACACGGAAGGGCACCAAGGAGGACGCGGATCCCATCTGCAGCACAAGAGCAAAGGTGGTGGGCACCGACACAGAGGAGGAAGAAGAAGAAGATGCTCAAATACGAGGGAGGTCGCTACTTCCGCCAAAAGATCATCTGCGCCACACTCGCCGGCAAATCGGTCAAGCTCAGCAACGTCCGGCTCGAGGAGGAAAATGTGGGCCTCGCCGGTACGCCTCCTCACGTGCTTGCTGCATAAAAAAAGCAAGTGGAAGCATGAACACCGTGCATTACTTGATTCATATAAATCACGTTGAGATTTAATCGCGGTGAGAACGATGGAGATATCTTTCTCACACCTGCCGTTGACTGGCCTCCCTGCAGATCACGAGGTGCACTTCCTGCGGCTCATGGAAACTGTGACCAACGGCTGCGTGGTGCAGATCAACCACACCGGTACGCCACGCGCACCGCACACGCACGACCCCCCGCGTCGTTTTAGCGTGCTCGTCTGTGTGCCTGCCTGCCTGCCTGCCTGCCTGCCTGCCTGCCTGCCTGCCTGCCTGCCTGCCGCGTTGGCAGCGCCAGCCACGGCTATTCTTACGCGCCCGTGGGTGCACGCGGGGTGACACGCAGGTACGCAGCTGCGCTACAAGCCGGGCGTCATCATGGGCGGCTCCCACACCTTTGACTGCGGTCTCGACCGGTAACCCCCGCTGCACGCCCCTTCGAGGACACCAGCACGCTGCTGCTGCTGGCTGGTGGTGGCGAGTGTGCTCGATTGGCGGCGATGGGACGGTGATCATCATTCTCCTCACCACGCCACTTCCGTGTCATCGTGTGTGTGTGCGGGTGGTGGTGTGCGGGTGGTGGTGGTGGTGCGTGTTACCGGCAGATCGATTGGGTACTTCCTGGAGGGACTCGTGTGCCTGGCGCCCTTTGCCAAGAAGCCCTTCAACATCACCCTCACCGGAATCACCAACGACGACAAGGACATATCCGTACGTTCGCGCCCCCGGCGGCTCTCTCTCTCTCTCCCTCCCTCTCCCCGCACCACCGCCAGCCAGCCAGCCGGCCGGCCGGCCACCACGCGCACCTGGTCTAATGGCGGGGGTGCAGGTGGACATGTTTCGAACGGTGACCCTGCCCCTGCTCAAGTACTTTGGCATCGAGGAAGACCTCGAGCTCAAGGTTCGTTCATTCCCGCCCCCATCCCCAGCTTCGCCCCCCCCCCCTTCGATCCACTCCGCACCTCATCTGGTGGAGAGGAGGCGCGCTCTCACGCAACCGCGGCTTTCCGCTCACCCGTGCACGTATGGTGGGTGGATGGATGGGTGGATGGATGCGCAGATCAACAGGCGCGGGGCGGCGCCCAAGGGCGGCGGCGAGATCCTGTTCAGGTGTCCCGTCGTGCGCACGCTCAAGCCCTGCTCCCTGGTGGAGCCCGGCAAGATGGTCAAGATCCGCGGCATCGTGTACCTCACACCCCCCCCCTTCCAAGCACACAGATTGTCTCCTCCCCCCCGCCGGCGCGTGGCGGCTGCCGCACGCACGTCGCCACGCCTCACCTCACCGCCACGCGGGGCACGTGTGCTGCACAGGTACTCCACGCGCATCTCCCCCTCCATCGGCAATCGCGTGGTGGACACGGCCAAGGAGATCCTGGTGGGCTTCACCCCCAACGTGTACATCTACACCGACAACTACTCCAAGAAGGAGGCCGGCCTGTACTTACTCTCCCCCCCCTCCACCTGCTCACACCACCGATTGGTGGTGGTGGGGATAAAACCACCGCGCTTTCTTTTGAGAGGTTGCTCATCGCGTTGGCCCTGCCACCGTATGTGTGTCGCGTGTCGTGCGTGTCGTGCGTGTCGTGCATTGGCAGGTCGCCCGGCTACGCCGTCACGTTGGTAGCCGAGTCGGACAGCGGGTGTGTGCTATCGGCCGAATACTGCGCCAAGCCGCAGCAGCTGCCGGAGGACGTCGGCAAGCAGGCTGCCCACCTCCTGCTCCAGGAGGTGCTCCAGGTACACGACACGACACGACACGACACGACACGACACGACACGACACGACACGACACAACCCCATCAGGGGGGGTGAGGGGGACGCGCAATAGAAGGCTCAGCCAGCTGGCATGTGCTAACCACGTGGCTTTGGGTGGGGGGTCTGTACCAAGGGGGGATGCGTGGACTCGAGCAACCAGTTCCTGGTGGTGCTCTTCATGGCCCTCTGCCCCGAGGACCTCTCCTCCATCAAGGTGGGCAAGCTCTCTCCCTACACGTACGCCACCCCCCCCCCTTCCCCCCTCTCCTTCTCGCCCGCGCTAGCACACAAGCACCACACGGCACACGACGCACATGAACCTCCTCCTCACGTGGTGCTGCTGCTGGTGCTGGTGCTGGTGATCGTGCTGGTGGGTGGTGGGTGGTGGGTGGTGGGGCAGGATCGAGATGCTGCGGCACCTGCGGGACTTCTTCGGGATCAAGTTCAAGGTGGACCCCGACCCCGACACCAAGACGGTGCAGCTGTCGTGCCTGGGCGTGGGCTTCATCAACTACTCCAAGGCCGGCATCTAAAAACAAAAAACGACACCTCTCCCATTCACACGGACCTTGCTTGCATACCCCCCCCCAAACCAGCAGCAGCAGCACACTCTGTCTTGTCGTGGTCTCGTGTGCGTGGTGGTGGTGGTAGGTAGTATAGTAGTATATGGTGTGGTTTAGTACAGGTGGCCACCATCTCCATAGAAATGGTGCACAGATGACGAGGTACATCTGTCGTGGTGACAGTGGTAATAATAATAATAGAGGTGGGGTGGCTTTAGGTCGGGTCCAAACCGACCACGGGGTGGGAGGGTGGGAGGGAGCAGAGAGAGAGAGAGAGACCGTACAATCGCTCCATATCTCTCGTCAAGAGCGTGGAGCTAGAGCTTGTCTGCGCGGATGGGGGAAATGACGGACGAGTCGAGGAAGGAGGCCAACGGGGACAGGCACGCCGAGAGGTTGTTGGGCGAGCGGGCGAACGACGCGTTCAGCGAGATGGGGGTGCCCGGCGCCATCGGCGAGCAGGCAGGCGAAGCGTGGGCCGAACGAGGCGGCGAGCTGATCAACGACGACTGCGCGACGACAATCGATGAGATACCGCACCGCGGCCACCGCGGCCACCACGACCACCACCACGAGGTGCGGGGCCAACCAGGCTGGCAGGAGGGGAGGAGGGAATGGGGGGGTAGGGTACCTCGAACTTCTTCTTGAGGGCGATGGCGAACTTGTCGACGGTGTTGTTGTGGGACGACTTGACGATGTCTGGGCGGATGGGGGTGCCGCCGGGCGAGCGCTCGATGCCCTGCACCCGCTTCAGCTGGAACCCGGCCGGCACCTTGAGCGGCGAACCGCGCGCGCCCGCCCCGTGGGCCGGCTGGCGGGCCGCCGAACGCCGCAGCTGCACGTTGGTGATGTCCGCCAGCGACACGCTCAGCCCGCGCGGGGCCTTCCTTGAGCTGCCCCCGCTGAAGCTGCTGTTGCTCCCGCACGCCTCCTCGTCCACCACCACGTCCGACACTTTGGGTGGTGCCCCAGAAATAGAAACATAAATAGAAGTGTAAGCAAGCAAGACCTCCTCACGATCACGTGGCGCCACACACGACACACGACACACGACACACGACACACACGCACGACACAAATACGACACGACACAAATACAACACACATGCGATGCCGATGCGCAGAGATGGGGGAGAAGAGGGAGAGGGGGGATTAAAATAGTGTGCGTACGCTTGGTCGTGGGCTTGAGCTTGACGCGCATGAGGTCCTGGAGGGTGACGGCGGGGGTGGGGACTCCCCCCGCACGGGCTTTGGCGAGCACGCTCGACTGGACTCCGGCCTGTGTGCACACGCGTAGAGCCGTGTGGTATTCAGGCATCAGGCATCAGGCATCAGCACCACCGCCACCCATGCAAACGTATTGTGTGGAGAGGAGGCGAGGGAGGAAGGAAGGAGGCCTTCCGGGCAGGGGCGTGGTACGGACCTTGGACTTGATGATGACGAGGGGGGCACGGGGCATGGTGGGCGGAGGCGGCGGTGGAGGCAAGGGGGCCGCCGCCACCGGGGGCGCAGGAGGAAGAGCCACCCGCACGCCCTCGAACTGCTGCTGGCGCGCCTCCGCGACATGTCGCCGCTCGTCTGCCACGTCACAGAAGGAATGAATGCAATTGGGGCAAGCACCCCCCCCCCCGATGGTGAGCGCCGGCTGGGGGAGGGCAAGGCAGCAAGGGGGGGGGTACCGTGGGAGGGGGAAGAGGGCAACTGGTGGTGGTGGCCACGCTGCTGCTGCTGCAGCTGGTGGAGGGCCTTGTTCTGCTGTTTGAGGTGCTGTTCGGTGCGCTTCAGGCGCTTCTCGAGGCGCGCGATGGCGGACCGCAGGGCGCGCGCGTCCTCGTAGGCCGGCACGAGGGCGGCGACGAGGGCGGCGGTGGCCTCCCGCAGGGCGTGGGGCGCGCGGCGCACCAGGCGGAGCGGGCGGAGGAGGACGAGGTCGACGAGGAGGACGAGAGAGGCCCACATGAGGCCCACCAGGAGGGCGCGTGCGGCCCAGTAGAGGGCGCGGGCGCAGAGCGCGAGGAGGGAGGCCAGGGGCACCAGCCCGTAGTCCCACGGCAGCCGTAGCACCGCCTCGAACAGCGAGGGCAGCGGCGCACATGACGACGCTGACGTGTTGGGTCCACCAGCGGCGGCGGCGGGTTGTGCGTCGCAGCTCTTTTGATGAGGATTATGATGAGTACAACTACTGCTACTGCTGCTGCTGTCGCCCTTGGAGGCCCGCTGGCCATGGTGGTGCTGCTTGGATGTCTTTCGTCTTCCCATTCCCGCCGGTGTTGGTGTGGGTTGGCTGTGTGTTGGAAGGAGAGAGATAAGGGGAGGTGGTGCGAACGCGCCCGCCCCGGAGCTCGTGTTGTTGGAGACTGTTGTAGTGCGTTTTGGCGCCAAGCCCTCGTTTTTCCAACGGTCATGGCCATGAAGGAGAATTTCTTTTCTTTTTCTTCTTTCTACCGCAGATCGAACACGCATATCAAAAAAAAAAGATCTGCTGCACCCGACCAGATCAGCGGCGCCAACTGACAGTAATAAGAATAATAATAATCTCATTATGGAAGTGGATGCGTCGGCCTCCTTCGAGATTACCCAGGTCAAGGCCCTGCAAGGTACCACCTACACCCCGCCTCCTTTGCTGCTGCACACGTGCAAGCCCGCGGCGCATGTATGGCCACCCGGGCGCTGTCTAGGCGGGCGTGGGGGGGGGCAACGCTGTGGCGGTGGCGGCGCATGGTGGCACATGGTGGGCGTGAGCAACCAACCAACCAACCAACTCAACCACACCCAACCAAAGGGCACAGCGATCGGGTGTGGCACCTGGCCTGGTCGCCCTCCGGCAACCTGCTCGCCAGCTGCTCCGGAGACAAGACAATACGTGACCCCCCCCAATCACCAACCACCAACCACCACCAATCACCAGCAGCCACCAGTCAGCAGCAGCAGCAGCAGCAGCAGCAGCGCCACCAATAATGAGCATTGGCCTCTCGCCCTCTTCCGCGGTCCTGCTCACTTGCTGCATTTGGCGGCGGCGGTGTCTGCGTTGGTGGTGGTGGCGGTGGTGGCTCGGGAGCACATTCACCTGTGGGGCAGGGAGGGCACCGAGTGGGTGTGCAAGGCCATCCTCGAGGAGGGACACCAGCGGTACGCCCCTCCCCCCCCCGCTGCTCCGCTGCCACCGTGTGCGTGCGTGCGTGCCGGCTCACGTAGGTTGGTCGGCGTTGCCTCGCGCGGGGATCGCCGTCACCTGGTCGTTGTGGCGGCGGCGGCGGTGGTGCTGGCGGCGGCGGCGGCGGTGCAGGACGATACGGCGGGTGGAGTGGTCCCCGTGCGGACGCTACCTGGCGTCGGCGTCGTTCGACGCCACCACCTCCATCTGGGAGAACCAGCAGGGCGGTTCGTTTGCACCACCCACCCACCCACCCACCAGCCACCACCACCCTCTCCCCCGCCTCCCCATCCCAGCATTTCCTCCGTCGCGCCGTCGGATCACTCACGGCGGCGATGGCCAACTGCGCGCACGCGTGGTATTGGGGGGGGGGTCATCTCTCTCTCTCTCTCTTCGGGCAGAGTTCGAGTGCATCGCCACGCTGGAGGGCCACGAGAATGAGGTCAAGGGCGTGGCGTGGGACGCCAGCGGCGCCCTCCTCGCCACCTCCTCCCGCGACAAGAGTACGTGGGTTGGGGGGGGGGATACCCTGGTGGCCACACGCCGCGCCACACGCCAATGCTCGTCCTCCTCCTTTCTACAACCGCACCTCCCCCCCCCGGCCCCATTCACTCATCGGTCCTCCTGCCGCCACCTTCGCTGTCCGCCGGGGGGGGGGATGGTGGTGGTGGATCTACATGACATGCATGCAGGCGTGTGGATCTGGGCAAGTGCGTATCCCCTTTCAATCACACGCATGGCCATGCGCCGCCGCCGCCGCCTACACCACCAGCCACCACTCAACCAGCTGACACAACACGACACGACACGGGAATGCAGTGGAATCGAACAAGGAGTTCGAGTGCGTGAGCGTGCTGCACGGGCACACCCAAGACGTCAAGTCAGTCAAGTGGCACCCCACCAAGGAGGTGCGCCACACGCGACACCCGGCACACGGGAATCTCTGCCTGCGCCGTCCTCGACAATCGGTGGGGGGTGGTGTACTGACCACCAAGCGGCGTGTGCGGTGGTGCGTGTTGTGCGTGTGGTGCGTGTGGCGTGGGAGCAGGTGCTAGTGTCGTGCAGCTACGACGACACCATCAAGCTGTGGGCCGACGACCAGGACGATTGGTACTGCCTCGACACGCTCACCGGCCACACCTCCACCGTGTGGGAAGTCGCCCTCAGCAAGGACGGCGAGCGCATGGGCACGGCTACCCACCACCACCACCACCACCACCACCACCAATACTCCCCCCCCCATGTATTTGTTGCCGCCCTCCTCCTCTCCACCCCCCCCCCTCTTTTTCTCCTCCCTTCCCTCATCCGTCTTCCGCGGTTGGACGCGTTTGGCTACTAATACTAATAAGTCGCGGGTGGGGCTTGGGGGGGGGGAGTGCGTGCTTTCTATATATATATATAATGTGGTCCACACGTGTAGTTTCGTGCAGCGATGACAAAACGCTGATCGTGTGGCGACTCTTTCCCGCCGAAGGGGCCTCAGGTATCACTGCTCCCCCCCCCCAATCTTGCCCTCCAAAGCCGTCTGATTTGCTCCGACCACCGCCGGAGCTTGCGTGGCGTACGCGTACGCTCTCTCCATTGGCATTCGCTGACGGACGCCTGGTGGTGGCTGGTGTGGTACTCCCTGCGTGCGTGATGGCTGGTGGCGCACTGTGGTGAACGGTGTGCACCCGGACAGCGGCTTCGCATGGCAAGCACGGGCGATATCATCCGGTGTGCACGCTCAAGG